GAAAAGGACCTCCCCATCCTCCCTTCTCCCCCGTCCTGCCTACGGTGGTGGTGGTGGAGCAGTGGCCCATCACCTAGTCCTCGCCCCCCTCTTCGACGCCCCCGATCTGGCCGATCCTGGGAACCCTGAGCCCAAAAATGTTGGCGTCCCGCTTCTGTCAGGTCGGGCCTGCCCCCCTACAGGGGGATTCTGGGCGAAAAACTGAAAATAGTCAAAAATCTTTCAGAAATACTCAAGAATAGTCAAAAAATCGTCCCCAGACTATTACTTGACTACTTTTGAACATTCCTCCTGTAGGGGGACAGGCCCGACTTAACCCTATCCCAGGATTCGTTTGGTTTTCGAATATACCAGAAATTTGGGGCCCAACCCTGATATATATATATATATATATATATATATATATATATATGTGTGTGTGTGTACGATGGGGGGGCGTCCATCCTCGATAAGGGTGCGTCCGAATAACCCCCTCGGGGTGTATCCCAGGGTTTCCCTCCTTTTCTGAGCGGCTTCACTTTTCGTCGAAAAGTCCGGGGTTGGGGGAGAAACATCGCCTGCGATCAGGTCTCACCTTCGCGCGGCGGCATTCCTCGAGCCAGAGCGGTGCTCGCCCAAAAGCAGGCGAAATTCGGAGGCGTGGAAATGGGCACCAACACCAAAACAGGGGGTACACTAATTGGGGAGGATGATCCCAGAGTCCGGTGCTGGCGGGGCTCTTCCGGCCACCTGGGAAGCCCGAATCCTGCCACCATCGCCGAGATCGGAATGAGCTTCCCTCGGTGGAGGCTCCGCGGCGAGCGACGGGGGGGTGATGAGAAGGAGAAGGCCTCCTCAGAAGGCGGCGGGACTTCTCAGAAGCCCTGGCGCCTTCTGGGCAGCTCGCTCGGTCCTCGGGGAAGGCTCGAAACCTCCGAACCTTCCGAGAAGGCCGTCTCCCTCTCCCTTGCCCACCCCCCCCCCTCGCTCGCCGCCGAGAGGTGGCCCCACCGATACTGGAGCCGGTGCCAACCGCTGGGCTTAGATCGGGCATGTCCCCCTACAGGCGACTTTGGGACGAAACATCGAAAACAAAACCTCCAGACATGCTCGAAAATGCTCGACGATATTCAAAAAAGTCGCCCCCATACGGTTTTCGGATCATTGTTCAGTGCTCCTCCTGACGAGGGACACGCCCGGCTTACCTCTGGGCCTCCGAGGAGCCGCGCCCGGGGCCTCGTGGCCCTCCGGGGCCGAGGCGAAAGCCGCAGGCGAGGCCCGTCCCGGAAGGCCCTCGGGGCCAGGAGGCAGCCTCCTGTGGCAGCCCATGCGCGGTCAACCGGTACAGGAAGGAGCCCTGGGACACACAAATAAATACACACACAAATAAAAGTATTCCCTATATTTTTCCGTATTTTCTGGGATTTTTGTCTTCCCACCCACTTCCCATATTTTCGAGGGAATCGACGGTTCATTGTGTCTGTGTGTTTTTTCCCCTCCTGGGTATAGTAAGGAGGCGCGATAAGGATGCAAGGCCTCGTAAGGCCACGTCGAGGCTTTTCGAGCGGGGCGCGGCCAACGAAGGCGGCCGAGGATGGGCCGAGGAGGCAAGGATGCAAGGGTACCCTTGGGAAGGCTGCCCACCCTGAATATGCGGGCTGACTGCACAGTGTGGTGCGGCCGTAAGAAGCCCTCGCAGGAAGCCCAACCCTGGAAACCCGCGCGCGAGGTGCACCCGAGGGAAAACTCAGAGCACCCCGAACGCAGCTGCCTCTTCGATGGCCGCGGGGAGCCACCGCGCAGCGCCGCGCGGAGGCAAGAAACCCGGGGCACCCTTACGAGAGGTAGATGGTCTCCTGATGCGCGCCCCCACTGTACAGGAGCCTCCCAGACCACCCCGTCGGCTCCCGCGAACCGACGGCGAATCGGCGCTGAGTCGACGCTGAGTCGACGCTGAGTCGACGCTGGCCTGCGCTGAATCGGCGCTACCTCTTCGACTCCCGAATGCTAGACGACGCTGATCGACGCTACAGACGGAATCAAGAGGGTATATCGGGGGGAACGAAAGGGCGGGATAGCAAAGGGTAGGGTAGAGAATCAGCTCACGTAGCTGATTTTCCCGGCGCCTCGCGGCGCCGGGAGGCGCCCATGTATCGAAGAATGGGCCCGGCGGCGGGGCCGAAACCAGCTGCATGCAGCAGATTTCGTACCCCCCCTTTCCCTATCCCCCCCCTTCGTTCGGCCCGAGTATACCGAGCTCCCATGTTTCGCCACCGAAGCAACTGCTGGGAGTTCTTCGTCAGGAGGATTAGTTAGAATTTAGCCCCATTGGGGGGCTGCTACGCCGGATTAGCAGGAGGCCACAGGCGAACCCTACCACACAACCCCACGATTTCTCAGGGGCGAGGTGGGATGAAGCGGGATTACGCGGATTCGGATTTCGGACCAGGGCAAAATCAGAACTTCACCTCCCAGGAGTTGCATCCGAGTCTGGAGGTGGGGCTCCCAGACCTCAGACGTCTTACGACGGGTTCCGCCGGTTCTGGCGGCTGTCTCGGGCGGCCAAGATGGGGGCGTACACGAGGGGGGGGCGCAAACCATGGCCAGCGGCATGTGCGCGGCCTGTGGGGGGGGGGAGGCCAGGGACGTAATGAAATCAGAGGAGGCGCCATGAAATCTGAGGGAGTGTCATGGCCCACGCCATGATATCCACCCCCCTAGTCGTAGGTCCGGCGTGCCCCCCTACAGGCGGATGTTGGACGAAAAATAAAAAATACTCAAAAAACATTCAAACAAAAATCTACAGTAGGCCAGACATTGTCCCCAGCCTACCCCTTTTCTATCTCTCTATATCCCTCCTGTAGAGGGACCGGCTCGACCTAACCCCAGTCAGCACCCCCCTCTTGGCCGCCCCCGAAGGCCCCTCTTGGGCCCAGCAGCGGCGTGAGCACGCCCTCCTGGTCCGGGCAGGGAGGGAGGCACCTGCACCGACCTTGGCCCAGGGCAGGCCTGGCCAAGGGCGGTGGCTCTGTGAGCGACTTCGGAAACTCTGCACCCGAAGACGTGTTCATCTCTCGGGGGCGCACGTTTTGCTTCCGCCGCCTTCCGCCCAGCTTCCGCCTGCTTCCGCTGGCCGAGGCGGCCGCGTTCTGCTTCCGCCGACCTTCCGCCGCCCTTCCGCCGCCTTCCGCGGCGGAAGAGATGACAACTCCTTCCATCCTTGCAGGCAAGGCCCTTTATGGAACGCCCCGTGTATGGATCTCGTCGCCCAAGCGAGGGCCCCGAGAGGCCGAAAGCAAAGGAAAGCCGCCAAGATTGCAAGAGTCACGTCGTCTGAGATTCTGGGCACTGAGTTTTGTTCAATCCGTTGGAGGTGTGTAGAAGCCTCCTAGATGGGGTCGGAGCAGATAGGGTCGGAGGATCGCGCCGCATCGACGGTACATTCGCGACACATCGGCGGCGCACTGGCGACGCATCGGGGATGCATCGGCGAAGACGCATCGGCGACGTCGGCATGGATAAATTCGGGCTCCACATCGAGCCGCATCGCGGATGCATCGGCGATGCGGCGCGATCCTCCGACCCCATGCATTAGAGAAACAAAGCCTGCATAAACATAATTACAGTGCAGTTTTTTAATACATAGGATGTTTTAAAACATCGGGCTTTCAATTCATGATTATTTTATGCACAAATGTATGCATGGACTCATCGATGTTTGGAATACTGACTCCCTTTATGTTTGACACGTGGTCCGCCCGCGGAGCATGTGTCAAAAACGGCACTGCTGACTGATGGAGCTCCGCGCGGATCTCCTGGATCGGCGCTGGACCCCCCCGCCCCGTGACGCGCAGAGCGCGCCGGGGGCGGCGCTGGAGGCGCCGCCCGCGGGGCCCCGGCAGCGTCGCTCCAGAAAATCCGCACGGAGCCCCACAGGCTCGCGCGCGTATGCCACAGGGTCTTCTTCGAGGGTGCTCGGACCCCTCTGGGAGGCCTATATCAGGCGAGGCCAGGACGAGGGCAAGTTCGCGCGAGGATGGATCGGGAATCTCTGAGGTTCGGCGGCTCTGGAGGGTGTCTCGGCCTGCTCAGGGCGTTTGCGGGACACCCCGAGAGCATTCCAGAAAGCTCTGGAGCGGGTCTGTCCTCGTCCTAGCCCCGTCCAAATGCAGAGCCTCCGGGGGTTCGGACGTGTATTGGCGGCGCGCGCAAGGGGGTAATGGGAGGGGGAAGGCTTCTTGGGAGGCGGCTTCTCAGCAAGCGCCAGCCCTACATCTACAGACAAGGCCCGCGCCTTCTAAACTTAGGTCGGGCCTGTCCCCGTACAGGCGGATTGTGTGTGAAAAATGAAGTATGTGTTATATAGTTGTGTTATGTTTATATATATATACAACAACAACAACAACAACAACAACAACAACAACAACAACAACAACAACAACAACAACAACAACAACAACAACAACAACAACAAAAGTCCCCAGGCTGTTTCTTTCCTATTCTTGAATACTCCTCGAGGAACATGCCCGACTTAATTCTAAAAGAGAAAGCCATCCCCCCTTCCCCCGACACCCTCTGCGCGTGGCCAAAGCGCCTTCGATCGGGGATGGACAGAACCCCCTTTCGCAAAGCGTGGTTCAGTGAAAACGACCTCGGGCCCAAACCTGGCGGGCGCAAGCCTGGAAAAGGACGGCCGCGGCGCCCTCTCGAGAACTGAAAACGGACAATTCACTAATCGACGTGTCAGGGTTGGGGTTCTGTCCACCCCCGATTTCGGAGGAGGGCAACGTGAGACAACGGCCGTGAGACAACGGTGGCCAAATCGGCTCAAAATCGGTCTCCGGACCCCTCCCGGGGTCCAGACGCACCGATTTTTCACGCTGCGTCCAGCCGTGGCGACGAGGAGGCACCTCGGAGGCGAAAAAGGCAAAAACGTCACCCTTGTCTCACCCTGCCCTCCTCTGACGATTCGAGGGCCCGGAGCGGGAGGCCGAGCAGGCTGGCCGGGCAGGCCGCCCGGCCTCGGAGTCCCCGGCCCCGCGGCCGGCGCCGCCAGGCGCCAGGCGCTCCCGCGCGGGCGGGCCGAAGGCCCGCGCCGACCTCGGGCGCCGGGGAGGGCTCGAGGCTCGAGGACCGAGGCTCGATTGATCGAGGCCCCAGGCACGAGGATCGAGGATCGAGGGCCCAGGCTCGAGGATCGAGGCTCGCTTGATCGAGCTTCCAGGCACGAGGGTCGAGGACCCAGGCTCGAGGATCGGGGCTCGATTCATCGAGCTTCCAGGCACGAGGATCGAGGGTCGAGGATCGAGGACCCAGGCTCGAGGATCGAGGCTCGCTTGATCGAGGCTCCAGGCACGAGGATCGAGGGTCGAGGATCGGAGCTTCGGCCACGAGGATCGAGGGCCGAAGGTCGCGGCCGGCCGCAGGGGAGAGCTCTCGAGGCTCTGATCACTGTTTCGCCGATCCCCACTCCCACACTCCCACTGGCATGGCCTTGGCGCCAATGGCCGACCTGCCCCCCCTGGACAGGGGACATGGGATGTCGTCTTCGGGCTCCGAGGGGCCCAGCCCCGACTGGGGGGCCAGGGTGGCGGGGCTGGAGTGCCATGGCCACCGGTGGGGATGGGGGTAGGTTAAACGATACGACGAGTAAAGGGTCCACTATACAGAAATGAGTTACCCCAAAATGGATTTGCCCGTCGGATCTGCGAAGAATGAGCATCATGCTCCTCAGATCTACAAAGGTTTCTATGCATGCTTTCAGAGATTCGGCGAGGAACAACGACTTTGGGGTATATAAATTACGATACCGGAGAAAAAAACGAATCAGATGTTTGTTGGGGCAATGGGGCTATATGGGCTATATGGCTATAGGGTATAATGATATAGGGCTATTGGGCTATTGGGCTATAGGGGCTATAGAACCTTAGGGCTATAGGGCTATAGGGCTATAGAGCTATAGGGTTATAGGGCTATAGAGCTCTAGAGCTATAGGGCTCTAGGGCTCTAGGACTATAGGGCCATAGTGCTATACGGCTGTAGGGCTATAGGGCTATAGGGCTATAGGGCTACTGGGCTATTGGGCTATCGGGCTATTGGGCTATTGGGCACCCCCGGGCACCCCCGGGCACCCGGGCACCCGGGCACCCGGGCACGGCCACCGAAATCGGCCACGCACCTCACCGGCCATCCGGGCACCCGGGCACCGCCGGGCACCCAGGCACCCGGGCACCCGGGCCCGGCCACCGAAATCGGCGACAAACCTCACCTAACCCTTTAATCCGCTAGGACCCCTACAGAGGCAAGCTCTGATTGGGGAATGTGGTCGATCCCAGGGTATGGAATTTACAGCGCCGAAGCTTCTCGGTTGGGCTTGCCCTGGCCTTCGCGGGGTGCTCCTCGTCGCCTCGGCGGGGTTCCACTCGGGAAGGCCTGGCCAGAGCGCACCGCTGGACAGGGGGGGGAACGCACACCTGGACAGGCGGAGGGGCGGCGATCTTGAAGGGGAGAATGTTCAACATCCGCGCCGCTGCCAAGCGTTACAACAGAGCAACAGGGAGCACGGCGCCTCTTTCCTGAGGTCTGTGGCTGCTCACTGGGGTGGCGCTCAAGGTTTTTTTTCACCCTCTGCCACTTCACGATCTTGAAGAGGGGGAAGAGGAGGCGGAACAGGAGGAGGATAGGCTTCGAATCGAACTGGCCTTCGGATGCGACCGACCGACCGACCGACCGACCGAACAGGAGGAGGTGGCGGAGAAAGAAAAGGGTTCGAAGATAGGATTGAACTTCCATCGCCGACGCCTTTTGATGGTTTTGCCCTCTAGGGGCCTTTGGAGAGCTTGCACAGCGCGATTCTCATCGAGAATGATTCGCGGGCTCAGAAGGCGTGCAGGCTGGAAGCAGCCCCGTTCGGCCGTGTGGTAATCATCCTTACATCGGCAAAACCGTTCGCGGGAGAGGGCCTCCTCCTCCTCCCTCAAACCCGGGTCAGTGCAACCCCGGGCCCACGCAACCCGGGACAGTCAGGTTTTGCAGGATCCTGCGCGTCAGGCCCGTCGCTCCGGCTGACTCCCGTTTGCACTGACCCCCGTTTCTCGCAGCTCGCTCCTCGCTTCACGATCCGCTGCCAAGACGCCCGGGGTCCCCATCGGACTGGGGACCCCCGGGGCCGCGAGAGGGAGGAGGAGGAGGAGGACGACGACGACGACGACGACGACGACGACGACGACGAGGACGAGGAGGAGGAGGAGGAGGAGGAGGAGGAGGAGGAGGAGGAGGAGGAGGAGGAGGAGGGGCGCGAGTCCACCGCGCGGGCAGCGGCCGCTGGGGTCCGGGCAGCAGCACCCAGGAGGGAGAGGGGCCGGCCCGCGTCGTGCCGCAGCGGCGCGGATCCACGCCGCGGTCGGAGGCAGCCGAGGGGCACTGCGGGGCCTCACTGGGCACAACAGGCAAGGCGGACGGGGGCACGGGTCGAAAGCTGGGCGAAGGCTGCTAAAACCGTGGCTGCTAAAACGTCCCTCTCGGAAGGAAAAAACAACTTCCCGGAACGAGGCGCGGCACGCGAAACAGTCAACGGGCCCCGTAGCCACTGGGAAATGCCGCAGGTCCCGTCACGAAGAAATCTGGAGTCAACCAGAAAATGCGGCGCCCCTGCGGGAGGCCCCACAGCTTACAAAAGAAGCAGAACATGATGTTTCACCCAATGGTCAAAAATCGAACTCTGGACCAATCCAAGGGCGCGCTGTGACCAGATTCTAAGAGGCCGACTATGGGATCGATTACAAAACTGACGCACCCCAAAACAGACTTTCTCTGCGATTGTACAAAACATACCCACACGGTTCGCATATCTACCAGCATTATACACATGTTTCGGGATTCGACGAACAAATCTTGGGGTAGATCAACTTTGTGGCCGATGCCCTGTTCGAGGAGGGGTGGGATCCAGCGGCGGGAACGAGAAGCGTCCCCAGAAGCCCACACAGGCGTCAAAGAACAGCCGAGAACTCACGTCTTCGCTCCTGGGAAGGTCGAGGAACGGATCATCGAGTGGGCTCCTCTTCCTCCTCCCCCGCCTCCTCCACCTCCTCATCCTCTTCTTTTGACGTGGCGCAGACTTAAGGCCGAAGCTTGGAGCGTGGCCTCCTCCTCCTCCTCCTCCTCCTCATCGTCATCCTCCGCCTCCTCCGCCCCCTCCGCCTCCTCCGCGCCGCTTCCGCCTCCTCCGTCCTCCTCCTCCTCCTCCTCCTCCTCCTCCTCCTCCTCCTCCTCCTCCTCCTCCTCCTCCTCCTCCTCCTCCTCCTCTGGTTCACTGGTTCACTAGTGAGCTCAAAGCTCATGCAATGCACAAGGATGAACAAAAATATGGATGGGCGAGCCGCTCTGCCATGCCGCAGACAAGGCCCGCCTCCCTGGGCGCCTCGTTCCACGAGGCCCGCCTCCCTGGGCGGTGCCTCGGTCGAAATCCTCCTCCCTCCTTCTCTGCTCCCACAAGTACCCTCCCCTTGAGAACTTGGCAGGCTGTGAGAACTAGCCTGCTCTTGCATTCTGCGTCTGGGGAGGGAGGAAGAGGAGGAGGAGCGTGGCGAAAAGCGTGTGGGTCTGAGAGCTAACTGAAGCTGCTGGTAGGCAATTGCACATGCATCTTCGTGCCTCCCCGCAGTAGCCCTCAGCTCTCTCCGTCCAAACCGAGCCCCAATCCTCGAGACCCTACTCTACTGCAGCGATCGTGCCTGATGGAAGGGGGGGGGCGAGGGGAGGGAGGCTTCAGAATGAAGGGGAGGGCGAATGAAACAGGAAGGCGGACGTAGACCGAACAGGAACAGAGTGCGCACATGCTGAACTCATGTGGCTCTCATGTGCTCAAGCCGTAGATCGCACTCAGCACGCTGAACTTGCTCCAGTTGTTGCTTCAGCCTCCGCAAAACTTTCAGGTCGGCCCCACACATCGCGCAGTGCACCTGTCTCGAGGGCGGGTGCGATTTGGCGATCGGCTGAGGCTTGATTCTGCCATCAAGCGGCCTCCGCCAATACTCGTTCCCGTCGTCCGAAGATCCAGTTCCTATGGCCTGGCTGACACCCTGGTCCACCTCCTTGTTCGGCAAAACGGTGTCGCACAGGCCATCGATCTTCGCCTCTGCCCATTCGAACTTGGCAACGTGGTTCTGCTGGCCCTGCTCGAGCCTACGAATCGTTCCGAAGATGACGTCTAGGTCACGGGCATGCGCAACGCTGGCGTCCGCCACCGTGGCCTCCATCGCGTCCAAGCGAGTGGTCAGCTCCGGGGTGTGTGGGACTGGATGGCTCGCACATCACTCTGGAGCCGCATCATCTATGCACCAAGAGAACGAATGGTAAGCACCCAATGAGATGACAGCCATATAGTCCAGATGTGCCTCTGCACGTTCTTCTTGCCGAGAGACGCCGGAGATGCCCACGTCTCCACTCATGCTTGCAAGGAAGCTGTCGGCGGGGCCTTATTTGGCAGAAGACACGCCCTGGGACTCCTCATCCAGGGCCTGGTCCGACTTGTCGTCCTCCGCCAAATCGAAAAACTCTGTACAGGCGTGCTTGTGGGAGGGGTTGGCACCGCCTTGGGGCCAAGCAGCGAGGCGGTCGAGGACTTCGAGCGCGGAGCCCTGGTGTCGAAGGAGCGCCCCTGCCCCGTCCAGCATACGAATATCTCGTCCTAGATGGGCTGGTAGGCGACATACTGGGAGACGGTGCTGCTTGAAGCCCTTGGCAATCGTGTCCTCCCCGAGCATGGCCGTCGCCTCCGCGGCCGCGACGAGAATCTGATGCGCAACACTGCTCAGGCACTGGGTGGGCACCGCCTGGACACTGGGAAGATGCTCCACCTGCTTTGCCTCCTGGCTGGTCAGCTTCGCCATGAGCTCGGAGGCCTCCTCGATAGTGCGCACATGAGCCACGACATGGCCGCGGCGCACAGCAATGCCTGTGCGAGGCATCGAGTCATCACTTACGTGAAAGAACTGACTATAATATGCAGTAAGTGGGAGAAAGCCTCTGGGCGGCGCTGTTTGAGCCACAATGGCTACGGACTCCTCCTCCTCCTCCTCCTCCTCCTCCGCCTCCTCCTCATCCTCCTCCTCCTCCTCCTCCGCCTCCTCCTCCTCCGCCTCCTCCTCCTCCATCAGCTCCCCCCCCTCCACGAGCAGGGGTGGATGAGGGGAAGGGAGGAGCAGGAGTGCAAGGGAGGGCTGAAGGATGCGGAGAGGTGGGACGGAGGAGGGAGGAAAATGGAGGAGAAGCGAGAAAGAAGGAGGACGACGAGGAGAAAGAGGAGAGGGAGGAGAAGGCGGAGGAGAAGAGAATCGTTCCTGGATGAGCTGGTGACGGGGAGGCATGGAAATACCGATACCACAATTCCCTGGACCTCTCCGGGAGCGCGTCCTGACCACGATTCCGAGGCAAGTCCAGCCGTGGCGACAAAGGAGGCCCTCAGGATGGCCCAAAAGGCGAAAATGATTGAAAGGTAGCGGCAATGCTATACTTGCCTCTTCTCAGGCGAGGAAACACGAGGCATCAGCAATCAGAGGGAGGGGGGAGAAAGGAGCAGGAGGAGGAGGAGGAGGAGGATAGCGGAGGAGGAGGAGGAGGAGGAGGAGGAGGAGGAGGAGGAGGAGGAGGAGGGAGGAGGGAGGAGGGAGACGAGAGAGAGAGACCGAGGACACAGAGAGAGGAGAGAGGAGGACGGAGGACACGGACGGAGGAGGACGGAGGAAAAGGAGGAGGAGCAGTACCAGAATAAGCTCACGATGCACTTCGCGAAGCGCTCCCCTTGAGACAACAGCGCAATTGGGCCTGCCAATTTGGCGAGGGCTCCGATTTGGAAAGGAGCTGTCCCGTATCATTATGGGGCATAACCGAAATGCAAAACAACGAAAATCATACACTTTAACGAGCCGCCCAATGAGATCACCCTTTCGAAGAAGAACCAACCCCCATCCGTAAAACTCCTGCGCAAACTTGCATTAGTGGTCATGAGCTATCCAAAGTTTCAAGCGAGAACTCCATGCTGGAAAAGAGCCGCCATGGATCCATAGAGTGCTACTTACGTTTCGGGCCTTGCACGTGAATGAAGCCTGGAGCGATGGCGACCGTTTCAAAAAGAGTGCATCCTCAATGTTGGTATAAAAACACAAGTGCGCGGCTCTGAGGCGAGAGCCCCATGTTAAAAACGGCACGTGCTCAATCCGGGCAACTAGTGCAAGGTGTTGAGGCGATTGTGCGCGGCGCTACGGCGAGAACCACATTTTGAAAACGAACCTCCCTCCACCAGTGAAACTGCTGCAACCTGTTAAAACGAATGTGCGCGGCGCTAGGGTTGTGAAAGGCAACTCCTGCTAGAGCAATAGGGCCGCCAGAAACCCCAAAGTAGCTCCCAAAGTAGGTTTCGGAGTAGGAGTAGAAGTACCCCCCGAGCATATGAAGTAGGTTGCAAAGTACCTCCCAAAGTACCCCCCGACGAGCAAAAAGTAGGTTCCGACGGGGGGTGGCTCTATTACAAGTAGTTGACTCAATGTCTGATAATGTATACCACCTAGTTTGAAACAGGTTGACCTTCTTAATTGGTTTTCTCAAAACCCTTTGCCTCCCCCTGATTGTCCGCTACCGTTGTTGCCAGGGTGAAGTGTTCAGCAGGCATGGTGCGGGCGCGTGCACAGTGTTCAACTTTATAACGCAACTCCACTGGGTGATGCGTGTAGTTGGATATGTTTTTGGGGTGTAAGGGCAGGTTGCTTGAGACAAGGGGGGGGGGGGTCCTCGTCGCCTCAATGCTACTCAAACAAGTTCGGTTATTAATTTGTTTGTTCGGGCCTGGCGTCGTCGGATACGGCCCGAGACGCTGCGTTAGAGGATGCGGCTCGGAAAGCTGGAGTGTTGGATTTGTGGGCGCGGTTCGGAAAAATGGCGGGGTTGAAACCTTGTGGCTCGGAAAACTGGGACTCCCTGATGGCGTTGCCTGGATGTGCAGCCATTTTGGCTGAAGCCCCCCCCCGCCGAAATGGCGGACGGCGAGGGGGGGTGGGCGGCCCTTGCCGCCGCCGAGGCGGCGGCGCCCGCCGCCGCGGCCGATGCGGCCTGGACGGCCGCGGCCGAGGCCGCCGCCGCGCCGCCAGCCTCCGCTGGCTGGGCCGCGCTGGAGGCGGCGCCTGGCGAGGCGGACGGCGCCGCCGAGGAGGAGGCGCGCTGCTTCATACCCTCAATTTCTTTATCGTTTGTCTTCCTCCGTCTCCTTCCCCTCCTCCTCCTCCTTCTCCTTCACTTCCCTCGCAAGGCTGTCGCGGCCAGCGGCGGGGCAGCTGCCGTGGCCACCGGCCTCGCGGAGTACGACGGCAGCGAGCCGTACGGCCACGGGCTGCCCGTGGACGTGGTCCGCAGCGCGGCTGGGTCGCATGGCGGCCGCCGCAAGGCTCGGCGTCTCCTTCCCTTTCCTCTGCCTTCGATCCGTCCGCCATCGACTCCCCTGCTCTTCTCACTCCTTGCCCCTGCTCGCCCCCCCCCCCTCCCCCTGCCTCCAGCGGGGGCGGGGGGTAAGGACGAGCAGGAGGCAAGGGGCGATGAAAGGCGGGGGTGAGATGACATTCGCTTCGCCACCTAGGCCTCGTGGTTGCCCTTGCAGCCTTTGCGCAAGCGGCTGCGCGATGCCATGGGGCCTGGGCGGCCGCAGGATGCTCCAGAGGTGTCGCCAGCAGTCGCCATCGCGGCACGAGCGGCGGCCGAGGCCGAGTACGACGAAGAAGCAGCGATGCTCTTCGGTGATTGGTCGGACGACGACCATCCAGCAATCGCAGACGAGCAGGTCGACGATGGCCAGCCCGAGGCCGCCGAGCTCGCCGCCATCGGTGGAGGTGCAGCTCCTCCAGCGGTGGTTCCAGGGGACGGCCGTGAGCTGGGCGAGATCGTGGCGCAGCTGGTCGAGCAGACCAGCGCGATCATGGCTGCGAAGGGTGGCCTCAGCACCGAGGTCGAGAGCGTGCACCAGCGCAAAATGTTGGACTACTGGCTGGACTCGAAGAAGACGACGATGCCTTTCAACCACGAGTGCGACATGCTCAAGGTAGGGCGGCGGCGGGCCGAGGGGGTCCTTGAGGCGTCGGCAGCTGCTTGCACCGTGCTTCAGTCGCGAGACGTCGCTCGGATGTCGAAGCAGCTGGTGCAGGCCGTGCTGGCCCGCGGCGGCAAGGCTGTGAGCTGGACGGAGTCGGTGCGGTACGACGAGACGCCGATGCACATGCGGCAGAGCGACCCAGAGAGATCCACTCCAGCGGCTGCGGGCGAACAGATCGCACTGCATGCTGGCGGAGCTCAGGACGTGAGCATGGTGCCGATCAGCAGCACTTGCACAAGCGTGCACTCGGCCAAGATTCTGAACACGGAGCGGACGTACAGCATGCTCTTCCACGTGCCCGACGCTGGGTACTTCGCA